TATATGTAAGCTAATTGCAAGGTCCATTCAATGATTCTCTTTTTTTTTTTTTTTTTTTTTTTTTGCCATTCTAAAGCGTTTGCCAAAATTTCACGAGTTTTATCCCATGTACCAAGCGTAATCGTAAATAAGAGTAAAATTATAACATTAAAAGAATATAACAAATTGTTCATAGGCACATATATGTAAAACAGTACATTCCGATTTTCTTAGCCGTTTCTTCAATTATTTTATTTTGTTTTATTTGTTTTATTTTTTTTTTCTTCTTTTGTTTGTTAATCCACATTGTTACAAAATCGCGTAAGCGTTTATATTAACAGGATTGTCCCAATGTGGAGATAATATTTCGTTTCAGTAGAATGTTTTTTTTCTGGATCATGACCTGTGTCATATTTATCCAATTAAAAAGGTGCGTACGAATTCGTAAGCCTGCTCACAATATAAAAGTATCTCTATTACGTTTTGTTTGTTCATTTGGTTCTTTTACTTGATTTTTTTTTTTTTTTTTTTTTAACTTGGTTAAAATGTAGCGCGAATTAATGATGTCATACGATATACATACACTAACTTGTTAAAAAAAAAAAAAAAAAAAATATATATATATCATAAATTGTACATGCCACTTGTACACACGAATAAAGCGTTCATTTTATTAGGAACAAGAAATTGTGCTTATTTTCCTTTTACCCTAATTTGTCGCTCCATTTTTCCCAAAGGAGATGTGTGAAGAAATTACACATGTACATGTTTTCAGGTATTTATTTTTTACAATATCGTATTATTTAATAGTAACAACAGTTCAACTAAGAGGAAAATATAGCAGTACAGTTATTTAGAGATTCTTCTTTCAGTTAAATACTTCTCCATTGTAACGCCCGCATCCGTTGGAACGATAAACAAGCGGTGCATAGCTAAATTAACAAGTACCATCTTAATTGTTCATAAGCTATGAGTGAACGAAGTGAAGAAATTTACGACATTTTATATTTCTATAAAATCTTTTATTCGAAAAGTTCCAATTTTACAGTGTTTTTACAAATATGCTAATGAGTTTTTCTCTTTTCTGATGTGTTAATGTTCATACAATTTTTTAAAATTTTTACAAATTATTTAATACGAGAAGTTTTACGCGAATCACTTTCTTTTTAATTTAAAATAAAGAAAAGATGAAAATTCAACGGTATAAGCAAGGGAAAAAACAAAAGGAAAATTTTATATATGTTCTAACGTACCTTGCATATTCCAAAGTATGTCAAAATGTATATAAAGAGGTGCGCGTATATATACACAGATAGCTGATGATTTTATATGGATTCCTCCAAATTGACGCTTATACGAAACATGTGGGTCTGTTTGTGCGAATGTACTGTTGCTACATTACATCCACGCCACATGTTATATTTATATGCTCATTGGGTATTATGACCTAAATAAGTACACATTTTCAGGAATACTGATAAAAAAAAGAATAAATAAAATGCATACAAATATAGGTTGTAACAATGGGTTTATAACGCAGGATTATACCTCACCATCATTAAAAGGGTGAGCTGATCGCATACTTGTGCACAGACAAATCTGTAATTAATCTAACTAATGAAAAAAAAATGAAAAAAATGAAAAGTATGTATTTTCCTTCTCCACGAAACGATAATATACATTGTAGATTTCTATACAGTTGGCAAATAATACACATTGTGCACACCTTTACAGGGCCAGTTTTTGTTCACCCAATTTATTTTTAATCTTTGGGATTTCATTATTTATTTATTTTTATATAGTTGCTGAAAGGAGGCCGTTTTACGAGCAAGCCATTTTTTGCATACATCGATTTTTCATAAATTAAGAGCTATATTTTTACTTAAAAAAAAAAAAAAAAAAAAAAAATTATGAACAGCTCAGGCTGTAAATGTATAATTTACATGCACTGCTCACAATTTTTGCATGATTTTAAAAGACAAAAATCAGAAAGATTTAAGGGTTTGATTTTTATATTTAATAAATATATGCGTGTAGCACAGCCTTTTGCATGTACGCTGCTTTAACAAGTTTAAAATATTTATATATTTTCATTTTATTTTATAGGGAAATTATAAATTTTTGTATTAGAGTAAATTTTACCTTTTTTTTTTTTTTTTTTAATATAAAATTTTAAAAAAATTTATGTCTTTTTTGTAGATTTTCCGTTTACAAAGTGTGTGTATTTTCCACTGCTTAGCGCCATGCGGGGTGTCGAATGTTAGCACACCTCCACTTATCCATATTCGTGTATCCTTATGATAAATGATTGTATGTTGTTTGTGTATTTGAACAATGTATTTTGGGCTTTCATCTTGTATAATGAATAAGATTGCAATTCTATCAAAATTATAGCTTCACGCAAGTATCGTTTTTGTTTTCGTAAGCTAGTAGTTTTTTCATGCATTTTCTCCTCCTAGTGCTTTTTTTTTTTTTTTTTTTTTTTTTTTATTCTTATAAAAGCACACACGATGACGTAAAAAAAAAAACGATTTCTACAAAGTTGCTTACTCATGGAAATATACATGCGATGTTATGACTTATGCTTACACATGGACATACACATGCGATGTTATGACTTATGCATACACATGGACATACACATGCGATGTTATGACTTATGCATACACATGTTACATTCAGAGTGTTCACGTTACATAATCACTTTTATTGTTATAAACTCCTTTCTGCTACTCCCTAGCTTTGCTCCTTTCTTTTAAACAAATTTTGTCATAAAATCACACGTTAATTTTTAATATTTAAAATTGTTTACTATGTGTTGTTATAAACGTGTGTAACGGAAAGTATAATAAATCCGTATGCGAAAGCTTCAAATTGAACAGTTACTCTCCATAAGTACCAAGGAACAAAACTACAAATCGAGCAACTATATGTTTTGGTGCATGAATGAGCGAACAGCTCTTCGTCCCTTATCGCTTTTAATTTTATATTTAATTTTTTTTTTTTTTCATTTTGCTTTGTTTGTTTTACTGCTTTTGTCACTACCCATTTCTTTCATTTATTATTATTCCGTAGTGTGTAAGAATAAAAAAAAATTGCGAATTTTGTAAAAAATGTTGTCGTGTCAAACCGTGACAAGAACTTTTTTCTGCTTCAATGCTGAATTTGTGAACGCAGCATGATTTAACGTAACTGAGAGAATGCTCTTAAATCGTCTACCCCACGTACGTACGAAAAAGGAAAAAAGTATACTATAAGCACTAAACCCATATTAAGCAATATAAGCACATTTGTGCATTTTCGTGCTTACCCATTTGTGCCTTTGTATATTCCTCAGTATGTGGAAAATATATTTATATGTCAGCAGTGTTACTACACACCCATGTGATAACCTTGCATTTGTTTTCGCAAAATGTATACATCATGATTTTCGCACTACACGCTTTCTTCAGTGCACATGTAAACATTTGTAAAGTACACCTTTTTATTTTATTTTATTTTTTTAATATGCAAGCATTTGTGACAGATCAGCTCCCTTTTTTCAAGAAAATTATATTTTTTGTGTTTTTGTATGGTCGCTATTAACTGGTTACATTCACAATTGAGTGCTCATTTGGAATGTATACTAATGAGCACACATAGGCGTTAGATGATTTTGAGAGTATCTCAAATGGAAGAAATTCAAATAAATGAAGCAAAAAAAAAAAAAAAAATAAAATAAAAATAAAAATGAACTCAATTGAGTTACATTAAGTCACGCTGTATTGTATTATTATACGTTACACTGCTCTACAATGCACTGAGTTGAACTGAACACAAAATATGTTAAGAACAAGTCTTTTTGGCAATAGACAAAAATAAATCCTTTGATTTAACATTTATTATATAGCTACCATTACATCGGATTGCACAAATGGCACAGGTGCCTAGTAAAATAATGTATTCCTTCATATTGTATTCTTTCCTTCTACAAAAACATTTCTCTTAAAGAATACAAACTGTTGTGCCATTACACATATATGTTAGCTATGTTCTATGGGAACACGCTGCTTTTATGAACCCCACATTATACATATCTCAGTTTTTATATACATATATATATACATATGCAAACTACTGAATGACAAGCAAATGAGCATGGATATATAAAAAGTTACGCTTTTATCGTAGTAAAACTTGGCTTATAGGTATATATACATTATTTACGTTCTGGATTCTGATTGCATGTTTGGTTTTTGGGAAATACACCGCAAAGTTACATACATGTATATTCATATGTTTACTTTTTTCATGATAGAGAGATTTCTGTGAACCTTTTTTTTTTTTCCTTCTCTTTGTATATTTTCCCTTACATCTCTGTCATCACACTAATTACATATATATTGCAAGTAAATATAGAATATATATGTATTTTAGAATTTCTTCTTTTAGAGGGTATCATATATACATATATATATATATGATCAATCTTGTTCACACATTTTTTGGCCATTGGCCTGCTTCTACAAGCGCTGGGAAAGTAGTGTGTGTTTGTGACTCGTTTGGTCGCATTTGCCGAAAAAGAGAATGTGTCAAGCGTTACAATCCATTCGTACTTACGTGTCATTACACTGTATACATGTGAAATATGCAACTAGATATTTGCAAATGTATATATATCGGTGGATACGTATTTTT